AGTTTGTTTTGAATCTCACTAGACCCTTTGGTGGCTGAAACTAAACGTCCCCTTAATGGAACAATGATTCTCTAAATTACTACCAAGGCACTCATTAGAAGAAGGTTAAGAGGAGACTATTTGCTGCTTGAGTTATCTGAGGTTCCCACTGATTTCTACCAATTTTAAACTTCAACTGGGTGCAACTATATCGTTATGTGATGTCCTGGTAGCTTGTCCTTACTATATTCATCCTGCAGAGTAAAATGCAGCCGATTTTGTCATGGCTACCTTCATTTTCTATGGGAACATGTTTTACTCATTCAACTAATTTTAGGGTCTCCTTCAAGCTGTGCTGGTCTAAATTAGCATAATAGGAAGCATGATCATTTATCATGCAGGCAGACAGGCCCAGAACCCCAGGGTTCAAGACTGGATGGAGTACTTTGAAGAACTGGAGTGAGTTTGAGGTGGTGCATGTCGGTGGCCATAGCTGTAGATTTCTTTACATTCATTTATTCCAGTATTGCGTTCCGACACATTTTCAGTGTTGCCTGCAGAATTTCATTTTACTTTAAGACACCTGCCTCGTCATCAGCCCGTAACCTTTCTGGCATGTAATCACCATTCTCCAAGTTGCACAGTGGACTAAAACACTTGGGCTTGAGGTGTTTTTTTCCTGATGTTTGTGGATAAATTATCTTTAAAGTCTCCTTGGGTTTAATTATGCATTTTTACGGTAACACTTGAGTGTGTATGGAAACCTCATTATAGAAACAAAACGTGTCAACCCACTCTTTAACTCACTCGGTTGACTACTTTGTCCTTTTGAACCGAAGCAGCTGTGAAATAACTACTTTGCCATGCATACATTTTCCATTTGAGCAGTTTTAATTACCAGTTTCTCCATTATCAGTTCTTGATGACTGGGGTTAATTAGAAAGATGTATTAATAGTGGCAAGGCCTGGCTTCAGAACAATTTGGATTCAGAGGTGCTGGTGGTTCAGTTAGACACAAAAGTGGAGATTCCTTCACTTAATGCTGCAAGGAATTACTGTGGGTCTGTTTCCATGCATCAAATTAAGGCAGAGCCGTTACGAAGTCAGAATAAATCAGGTTCACTTATCAGTAAAAATGATCTTTGGCTGTTCAAGCTGCTGCAACAGTGACTGTTCATGTGACGCTGTAGGTCATTTTTTAATGCCGCGTATCATCTGCAGAATAATGAGGGCCACGAGGCAGATGGATGCAAAACAATATGATGCAGAAACAGATGAGTATGGCGGTAAACGGGGAGCCACAGGAGTTTTATTTGTTAGAGAATAATGAATCATGTTTCCTTCTAGGGATACCAATATCCATCAGTTTCAGATATTGAATATTACCTTCATTGTTTCCACAATAATCTAATCACTTAAATAAAAGTCCTAGTATTTGCCATTTAGTGTCCAAGACTTTTAACTGAACTGCTAGAATTTAATTTACAATCTTACAAATTAAATCAAATGGCATTATCCAGGTTCAATGACAGTGCTGTGATAATTAATATCTGTAATAGCTTTATAACTGACAGCTTTTATTGCACATATTCCACTAATAGCTAATCACACTGCCAAAGAACAAGAAGTGGTTCACAGGAGAAAAATACATGTGCATAAAATACATCCAAAGAAACCTTTGTATATATAATAATAAAGCAGCTATTGTGGTTTAAGTATAGAATGGCTGAAAAAGTCACATATTTAAATCTGGCACAAACACAAAACAGTGTGTTTTAAAGCACTTCAAATGCATTCCTGTGCTACATCTCATTGCCCGCCCCTTTGTCTAGACAAAAAGTTGTTCCTGTACAGTGCAAAATATATAACATTATGTAAATATCCATAGAAACATTTCCTCCAGTCCAGGCAAAACAACGCACAGTTGTAGAAATGCACTTTGTTTAAAAGTGGGCTATCTCTAGTACATTCACTTACAAATGCACACTGTAAAGGATAAGTCTGGTCATGTTCTTAGAAAAACAAAATCCCACAATGTCTCTGTTTGCTGTTAATCCTTTTAAATGCAGTTTCAGATACTTTATGTAAAGTAAATAGAAATAAAACATCTAAATTGTAATGAACCTGGCTGAGATTTAACCATAACCTGCCATGATGTATGATTGTGAGTACAGTGCTTTAACGCAGAAGAGAGTTGGATTTAAACTACGGTGCGTTGCAGACTGAACAGCCGCGGGACTTGGAGCAAGGTAAACAGCCACTACACCTGGATTTCCAATTTGATTCGTTACATCGGGGTGAGTGATTTGTCTAAAAGCTTCAGATATTATCACCCCATTCAGTGGATGTTGTCAGTTTATCACTGGGAGCATAGATACAGGTGAGTAGGGCCCTACTCCACAACAGTAACCAGAGCGTTCTACCAGACTGACACATTTAGTCATTGGTCAGCTAACACTAGCTTCGGACCAGAGGCTGCAACCAGGAACCCGCAGTTTAG